CGGGGCGGGAAGAGGGGGGTTGGTGAGCCTGCGGTGCAGCCTGCTTGTATTTATTTTTAGATGTAATCCCATTGTGCCTAGGAGCCTAGTCAAGGACTAGGGGCGCCATTGTTCTAGGTGCTGCATAAGCACAGACATGCTCCAAAGATCTGTAGTGTTGCTGCCACTGCCAGCCGAAGCAGCAGTTCTTGAAGCATGTTGTCCTCTAGCTTTGAGTCGCCTCCTATTCATCTCCGTCCCTTCCTTGGGGCAGGTTTAGGTAACGAAATAGTAAAATCACTCGTGCTGTTATCATTGCTTACTGTTGTAGAGCTGTCCCAGTGCTAGAGCTGTGGTGGGAGGATTTGCTTGTTTTGCTGAAAAAATGCACAATTTCAGTGAGCTGGTGAATGGGGGGGGGAGGGGCAGCAGCACAGGGACTGTATTTGCTCTTGTGAGGCTTCATTAGGTGTCAACCGGCATTTTTTCAGGGAAAAGAACAATTATGTATACAGGACAGCCCACAGGTGTGTGGCTGTGTACAGGCACGTATTGTGCCATTGATCAGTACCATGCTACCACTTGCACATTTTTCTGTGGCAGGAACAAATATCACAGGGAGGCCTTCAGTGAGCAAGAAACAAGCCGTTTAGCCAAATACAATATGCACAGCTTTGAGGCATGTTTTTATATTAATATAATCTCTTAGAGGTTTTTCTAGATAACTTTTTCATTTTCCCTTTTTTGCTTTGATTTTATGACCAGACTGCCTTTATTTTCTTGCCCCAATTGATTTCAGAATTAATCCTACCACACACATAGTTCCACATTACAAAATGTACAACAATTTGCTCATCAATATGTGTTGAAAACACATGGCTAACTTAACTATACATATAAAAGAAGAGCAAAGCTTTTGATCTTACTTTTTGAAACACTTTGTAAAAGCAAAGATGGAGGTCTTTCTGTTCTGTATTTGGGGAGAAATTTCTGGCCCTTTTTTTGTTTTGAATTAACAATCTCCTTAACATTTTCAATCCTCCCCACCTACAAATTTTCTCAAAAAGTCTGGTATTTTACCCTTAGGAAAAAATGGTAATAGCAAATTAATCCTGATTTCCATTAATATTAGGCATTCTCACTGTCCTGCAAGCTTAAAGACATGTGACAACCCTAAAACTTACAACATTACAATGAGGAGTCCTGTGGCACTTTAAAGACTAACAGATATATTTGGGCATAAGCTTTCATGGTCTGTTCTGTGTTTTGTTTTGGTTCTTTCCTGACCAATATCCCACAATAAACAGTGCGCTCTTGTTTGTATTTTTACAGGACTGGACTCAAGATGAAGCAGTCCTGGAAGATCTGACTCAAAAGGTAGCTCAGGAACATAAAACTCACAGGTGAGCCCCAAAATGTTAAGATACTGGTATGTTCTGTTTTTACTGACTGTGGGAAATTGGTCCATGTGGTTATTCTTCTGCTACTTTAAGTTGGGTTTTAATTTAGTCTATACAAAAATTTAATCAGCTTTTCACAAAACTTTGCAAATATAAAATAGTCCTGGTCACCAGCCTGTTTGAAACATTGGAGTACAAATGCCTCTCTGTCACCTACGTTGCTCCTTTCTAGATTTGGACAACAGTGCAAATGACAATATAGAGAATGTCCTACTATGTCCTACTAATGACAATATAGAGAATGTCAAGCTAAAATATCTAATCCCATCTTGGTAGTACAAGTAATGATCTGTTTTAATTATATTGTAGACTCTCTTCAGAATCTCAGTAATATCTAAAGTGAGTTGATCCAGATTATTCTGGATCTGCGATTTTTTTTTTCTAGGACCTTTAATACGACTTGTTACCCTGAACAATTTCTTGCTATTTTGTATTATTTTAACTGTAGTGGCATACCAGCAGCAGAAGCTGAACTTATGTACATCAGTGAAGTAGAACGCCTTGAAGGGTTTGGACAGGAAAGTTTCCCTGTGAAGGTATGGGGCTGTATTATTTCTTAAAATTCCATTTAAAAAGACAATATAGGGGTAGACAGTGATTTGTGTATAACTCATGTTATTGTAAACATTTTGTGTACATCCAAATGAAGAACGACCCCTTTCATATATCAGAATATAGAGAGAGGAATTATTTTCTGATAGAGGACATCTTAGGCATGGTTGTTCACTGTCTAGCACCTTGCGTATGGCTGTGTAAAGTCGTTGAAGGGCATTACCAAATTGGAATGGTAGTGTTTTAGATCCATTTTGCTCTGGGGTAGTTGACTACATTAGATGTACAGCAGTGGAGAATCAGGACACCTGATTTTATCCCGGCACTGACGTGCTGAGTTACTCTTGGAAAAAGTCACTTAACCACTGTATCTCACTTTCCCGATTTGTGAAATGACCATAACAACATTGTTCACCTCACTCGACAGTTGTGAGAATTTAGTAGCTAAGATAGGATGTTTAGATGCTTGCATATATGACTGTGCCAAGTTCTGTCAACTGAACAGAAGCAAAGTAACAGAATAACAACTGGGGCCGGTGGTTCAGTTTTGTTCTACTAGAAGATTTACCCAGCGTTGCTTGGGTCCTTAACTCAATATTTGTACTTTAGAAAACAAAATGAAAATATACATGCTGTATTTAAATCATGGCTCTGGACTGGGCATGAAGGGTTCAGTATGCAGGCTGCCCCAGCCCTCTCTCGCCCCAGCAGCTTGGGGCCAGGTAAGAAACGCCTCTCCATGACCGTTGCATCTTCAGCGAGCACAGCCATGGGAGGAGTGCATGTCCGCCAGCTGGGGAAAGTCCAGGTTCATCTGCCCCTGCACTTCCCAGCCAGAGAGCAATGCAGCAAAGTGTCACTTTCCCCTCATTTCCTGGCAAAGGGAAACAGACAGTGAAGTTCTCAGACAAATCGGAATGGAGTTGAGGGGAGCTTTAGCCTCCCTCACTCTTCTTAACAGCTGCCTGTGGGGTGGGAAGCTCGGGGCTGGGACAGTTGTGGATAAAGGAAGTGCACCACCAGCCAGCCAATTCACCTGTGTGGTGATTCTGTCTCTTTTCTGTATGGTTTTATGGAAAACTCATATATTTAGCAGATTGCTGTCCTTTTCTCCATCTGTCATCCTGCTGCCCCATTGGGGTTATAGCTGTCCCAATCCTCCCTCTCTGGCCCCTTGCTGCCCCTCTGTGGTCATTATACAGTATAGCTAGTCACAGAAGAGTAGTCGTGTTAGTCTGTAACAAAAAAAAAAAAAGAGTAGTCCTTTAGCACTTTAAAGACTAACAAAAACAAGACTATTTTTGTTAGCCTCGAGGGTGCTACAGGACTACCCTGTTTTTTTTTTTTCACAATATAACTGTCTGTGCTTTCCATCCCATATCCCTGCTGCCTTCATGTGGCTGCCCCTTTCCGTTTTATGAGACACAATCCCATTCTTGGCATATCCCATTTTCCTGGCACAACCAAATCCTGACCTTGCTTTAAGTTATGATAAAAGGAAGCTGCATGCCAAATTTGATGGTCCTAGTAGACAGATGTTCTTAGACATACAGACAGATGCACAGACAGACAAACTCAAATATATAGTAGATTTATGATTCTTCATTCCTTTGAATTTTAAATCAGTTTTCCTTATCATAATCCTTGATGCTGTCATCTGCAACCTTGTTAAGTATGAACAGAGTATGTCATCATGATCCACTAGGAGGCTGAACATTTGAAGATTATGAGCCCATTCTGCAATGGCAAACACATTTTCTTTGTGCTGGTTTGGATGGTTATTTGTTATAAATACTGGATTGTTCAACAGTTCCCCTTATCACCTACCCCAGGCACTTTCCAGTAAAAGTGTTTTTCTGCATCTGCTGCTACTGAGATTAAAAAAACACACACACCTGAAGTTTGCCTGAAGGGACACAAATACCCAAACATATTGGCTTATTGCACTTTTGGATCTAGTGATGTCCTCCATTGAAGTTAATGGCTTTTTCACTGGAAGGTAGAAATTATGTGGTCTTCTGATGTCAAACCTTTATGCGTCTAAAAGAAATCAAAGGTTTGGTCTGGAATAAATTTACACTACAACACTTTACTATAGCAATTTATGTCCTTCATTGATTTTTTCATTCTTCCTGATTGTTGGTAGTGGTTGTTGGATGAAGTACCAATACCATGCTCACATACTGCAAGAGAGAGAAAAAACACATCACTACCACCCCGGAGAGCAGAAAACATTCAATCCACAGTAGATTTGGAGTAAAGTGTAAAGAGTTCTGGTGTGTGCAGTGTTGTGAATCAGTGCATGTTCAGGGCTTGAAAATTGTACCAGACCCCACCTGATTGGGGGATTAGCCCTTGCTAGGAAGAAAGAGATACAAAATGCATCTGTGGGGCATTCTACCGCAAATCTTTGGGGCAAAATTTAGACCCCTGCTCATCTACAGAGCCTCAGAATAAGAAGGCATCTAGGATTTCTAACAGGGTATTGTCTTGGATACTGTGAAAGAAATTCATCTTTTTGTTTTCCTCTGTTGGTAATAGGCATCTGATGAATTTGAAGCTTTACCACTTCCAGATGCTATAGGTCATATATGATTGTCCCTCTTCTTAAAACAGCAATCAATGGAGAGAGAGAGTGTGGACCTCCCTAACCTGTCTCTTTTCTAATATGGCCTGAATGGCTTGAGGGTGTAGGTGAACAGAAGGGAATCTCCACTGTCCCTTCCCCTTCCATCTGTTTCAGTTCCTTTGGCCCAAATATTGCACGTATCTCAGCAGCAGCCCATACAATTTTCCAATAGCACCAGCAGCAGAGTGATAGTATCACTGTTGTCCATCTGGCACTAAAAGTCTTATTAATTTCATGTTCTGAAACTTTGCAAACCAATGAGCAGCGGCTAAAGCACTGGGTCTAGCTGCCCACAGACTCAGGAAGACTATACTGCATCAGTTTACATTTGGCTTATGTTTGGATGTGTCTCTTGGCTCTCATCAGATTTATAGACAAATTTCTTTTGTGTACAATTTTCAGAAATTTTACAACAGGCTTTCCCCTTGGTACTGGGAAGTGCATTTTTTCAGGCTTTATATATAGAATGTCTTTGTTTGGCTATTGCATGCCATTTTGGACCATATTAGATAAGAAGCACAAAGCGCTCATTACTGCATAAAATAGAAAACACACAATTTTTTTTTTGTCTTAAAGAACTAAATTCACGTTCTCTTCGGTGTATGAAGGTAATACTGCTTTTTTTGTAAAAACAATTCTTGATATGTTAGAAGCACCATATAAATAGCCCTGTGAGGTAAATAAGTATTACTTCTTTTAGAGAAGGATAAATGGAGTCACAGAGGACCAGATTCGCAAATATAGGTCTTCTGTTTTGCTTCCACAGATTTGTAGGAATAGTTCTTTTCTGTTGCAATTTCTCATTCAAATAAATGTCTGCATACTTGATTGTATCCTTGAATCAGATGTGTAGACATCTAAGCTGCCTAAATTGTTTTCCCAGGTATTTGTACTTATCAAAATGGAGGCTCTTTTTAGACCAGTCTGAAAATCTGGTTCCAGGGGTCAAGTGAATGGTCCAGATCCATACAGTATGAATTAAAATGCAGGAATTTCAGACTCTGTCTACTGTTTATTCTGCTAGAACACATTAATTTCCCTTATGCTGTACCATGCAGTATCATAGAACCATAGAGCTGGAAGAGACCTCAGAAGGTCATCAAGTCCAGCCCCCTGCTCTAGGCAGGACCAGTCCCAACTAAATCAACCCAGCCAGGGCTTTGTCAAGCCGAGACGTAAACACCTCTAGGGATGGAGACTCCACTACTTCCCTAGGTAACCCATTCCAGTGCTTCACCAGTCTCCTAGTGAAATAGTTTTTCCTAATATCCAACCTGGACCTCTCCCACCACAACTTGAGATCATTGCTCCTTGTTCTGCCATCTGTCACAACTGAGAACAGCCTCTCTCCATCCTCTTTAGAACCTCCCTTCAGGAAGTTGAAGGCTGCTATCAAATCCCCCCTCACTCTTCGCTTCTGCAGACTAAACAGACCCAACTCCCTCAGCCTCTCCTCATAGGTCATATGCTCCAGCCCCCTAATCATTTTGATTGCCCAACGCTGGACCCTCTCCAATCTTTCCTTTTTGTAGTGGGTTGCCCAGAATTGGACACAATATTCCAGATGTGGCCTCACCAAAGCCGAATAAAGGGGAATAATGACATCTCTGGATCTGCTGGCAATGCTCCTCTTAATGCAACCTAATATGCCATTAGCTTTCTTGTCTACAAGGGCACACTTTTGACTCATATCCAGCTTCTCATCCACTGTAACCCCCAGGTCCTTGTCTGCAGAACTACTACTTAACTGGTTGGTCCCCAGCTTGGAACTATGCTTGGATTCTTCCGTCCCAAGTGCAGGACTCTGCACTTGTCCTTGTTGAACCTCATCAGATTTATTGTGGCCCAATCCTCCAATTTGTCTAAGTCACTCTGGACCCTATCTCTACCCTCAAGCATATCTACCTCTCCCCCTAGCTTAGTGTCATCTGCAAACTTGCTGAGGGTGCAATCCATCCCCTCATCCAGGTCATTAATAAAGATAATGAACAAAACCGGTCCTAGAACCAAACCTTGGGGCACTCCGCTAGAAACCGACTGCCATCCTGACATTGAGCCACTACCCACTGGGCCCAGCCTTCTATCCATCTTTCTATCCATCTTACTGTCCATTTATCCAATCCACATTCCCTTAACTTGCTGGCAAGAATATTGTGGGAGACCATATCAAAAGCCTTGTTAAAGTCAAGGTATATCATATCCACTGACTTTCCCACGTCCACAGATCCAGATTTGTCAGGCATGACTTGCCCTTTGTGAATCCGTGCTGACTATTCCTAATCACTTTCCTCTCTTCCTCTCTTCCAAGTGCATCAAAATGGATTCCTTAAGGATCCCTTCCATGATTTTTCCAGGAACCGAGGTAAGACTGACCGGCCTATAGTTTCCTGGATCATCCTTCTTCCCTCTTTTGAAGATGGGCACTAAATTTGCCTTTTCCAGTCATCCGGGATTTCTCCTGATCTCCACGACTTTTCAGAGATAATGGCCAAAGGCTCCTCAATGACATTTGCCAACTCCCTTAGTACCCTCGGATGCATTAAGTCCGGACCCATGGATTTGTGTACGTATAGCTTTTCTAAATAGTTCCTAAACTGTTCTTTACCCACTAAGGGCTGTCCATCTTCATCCCATCTTGCGTCACTTAGCGCATTAGTCAGGGTGATTAAAGTCCCCCACAAGAACCAGGGCTTGCGATCTGGAAGCTTCTCTCAGTTGTCCGAAGAAAGCCTCATCTACCTCATCCACCTGATTCAGTGGCCTGTAGCAAACACCAACCACAACATCACTGCTGTAGTTTGCTCCTCTAAACCTAACCCATAGACTCTCAACAGGTTTTTCTCCCTCTTTATACTGGAGTTCAGAGCAATCGTAGTGCTCTCTTACATATAGTGCAACTCTTCTTCCTTTTCTCCCCTGCTTGTTCTTCCTGAACAGTCTATACCCTTCCAAGACAGCGCTCCAATCATGCAAGTCATCCCACCAAGTCTCTGTTATCCCAATTAAATCATATTTCTTGGACTGGGCCAGGGCCTCCAGTTTTTCCTGTTTGTTGCCCAGGCTTCTCGCATTAGTGTACAAACACCTCAGGTAACCAGTTGATCGCCCTATCTTCTCCATTCGAATCAGGGATCCTCCTTTCTTGTTCGTTCCTCTCTGCATTTCTTCCCGGTATCTGACTTTCCCACTCCCCTCAGGGTTTTGGTCACCGTCCCCCGACGAACCTAGTTTAAAGCCCTCCTCACTAGGTTTGCAAGCCTGCCCGTGAAGATGCTCCTTCCTCTCTTCATTAGGTGGATCCCATCTCTTCCTAACAATTCTTGTGCCCGAAATAGAATCCCATGGTCAAAGAAACCAAAGCCCTCTCTGCGACACTACCTGCGCAACCACGCATTTACGTCCTCAATTCGACGATCCCTGCCCAGCCCTTTCCCGATGGACGAGAAAACCACTTGCGCTCCGAATTTTTGGATCCTTCTTCCCAGCACTGCATAATCCGCAGTAACCTGCTCGAGGTCATTCTTGGCCGTATCGTTAGTACCCATGTGGAGAAGCAGGAAGGGTGATCCGAAGGTTTGATCAGTTTGGTAAGCCTCTCAGTAACATCCTGAATTCTCGAGATTCCAGGTCCGGACAGCAGAGGGATGGCTCAGTCCCTCTTAGAAGGGAGTCCCCAACCACCACCACCTGTCGTTTTCTTTTGGGGGTGGTGGCGGCCCAACCCCCATCCCTAGGACTACGCATCCCATGCCTTGTTTTCTTTTGGGGGTGGTGGCGGCCCTGGAACCCCCATCCCTAGGACTATGCATCCTATGCCTTCCAGTAGATGGTGTTCCCTTCTGGTTTTTTCCTTGTGAGGCCCCTTCCAAAGCATTCAGCACTGTAGAGCCTGTGGAGAGAGCTTGAAAGCGATTGCTTACCTCTATAGCATTGGGGGATTCCCATGCTGGTCTTTTTCCCCTTCTAGAAGTTACATGCTGCCAGTTCTCTTCCTGGTCACATACTGCCCTCTCTGGCTCCTCTGCCTGCCGTGCTTGAAGGATTAAATGCTGTCGTCTATCGAGGAAGTCTTCATCCTCTCTGATCGAGCGTAGGGTCGACACTTGGGCCTCCAGTCCTCTAACTTTTTCTTCCAAAATATCGACCAGCTTGCACTTCGTGCAGATGAAATCTGTTCTTTCTTCCAGGGGGAAGACAAGCCATGCAAGTAACAACAGCAGACCTATCACCATCCATCACTGTTGTCCTGTTCGCAATAATCCTTTAGTTTCATGGCTTATATGCATATGACATTTATTTTGAATTATTGTGCAAATACCTTGTTAATAAGAAGCAATCACTACATAGACTGGGACTCTTTTTATTTAGTTAACCTACACATAAACTGAACGCCTGATGTGCTGTATATTTTAGGATATTATTTTGATTAAACATTTTACTGTAGTTCTATGACATTTTTCATATCAAACCAGTTCCTGTATTAACTAACTAAACGTTTACGTGGCTTTTGTGCAGGACAATCATGGAAATGATTTGCATCTTGGCATTTTCTTCATGGGAATCTTCATAAAAAACAGAATTGGAAGGCCAACAGTGATATACAGGTACCATCAAGAGAATTCTGCCTTTATAGTCAATTCCTTTTTTATGGAAAGCAGTGCTTTACCCCTCCCCCGCCAGTGACATAGGCCTCAAATTTGGGTTAAGTGTGACTATTTGTGTGAATAAAGGAGTACTTGCATGAGTAGGGATTAAAACCTATGTAGTAAAAGATGGTTTGTGAATGGGCTATATGGCTAGAGAGACAAGGGACTATCTTGTACCCTTGAATTCCTTTTGAGATGTCCTTTTTCCCCTTGACTTTTAGGGTAAGCTTATGCTTAAATCACTTCTTTTCTTGCATCAGAAAGCAAATACATTAGACTTCAGTGGGGACTGCTGCATGGGCCCCCTTCCATAGAGGCGGGAAGAAGAATCCTGCAGCACCACTTGGCTTGAAGTGGTTTCCATGGTATATAGTTATAGTTTGGTTCAATGGCTCCCAGCACTCCCATTATACAAATAAGGTCAAGTGTCTCAATAAGGATAATGAAGCTGAATGTTAGGCTCATTTTTGAAACTCAAGGCCAATGTCTTATTTATATGTGTGGCACTATGCTCATTTACAGAGCTATTTAGATAATTATGTGACAACTTCTCAAGAGAAACTAGGTTGAAACTAACTTATTTTGCATAGGACACTGAACGGTGTTTAGATCAACAGCTTCTGAGATCAGAATCGGGTAAAGCCATGTCTGAATTTAAATCTGGCCCTTGGTTTTGTTATTGTGGGATTGCCCAGTGGTGCTAATGCAGAATAGGAACAACTGGCCAAATGATTGTTTTATCAGTTTCAATTATTGTTTAAATTTTATGATCTTTGTTACTCTACCAAAAAAAAGAAAAAAAAAGTAGAAAAAATACGTAAAACAAAGCTTTGAGTCAAATTCCTGCCTCTTTGAAGATAGTAGTAAAACTCCCATTGATTTTAGTGGAGGCAGGATTTCACCCTTTTTTATTGTGTTGCTGTGGTTTTATGGGCTATTTTTGCTTATTACATTATTTTAGAATGATAAACCACAATCTATAGGATTGTTTCTGACCTGTGCTCTTGCTGTGTGAATGTTTCAATAGAGCTCAAGGTATAAAACAGGTGTCTTTATGAGTCACACTGTAGTTTTAAGCCAGCAGTGGGAGCTCTTTTTTAAACACATTAGTGTTTATTTGAAAGGGTTTAGATTATTTTTTTCACCATTCCCAAGACTTGAAAATATAGCTTACAAAAGTGAGACAACACTCAGCTTTTTTTTAAAGAGTAGGTGTTCTCAGAAAATGCTGGCATCCTTGTTTGTTCTGTTTCAGCATGCATTCCTGAGCATGTAATGACAGGATGTAGCCAAGTACATTTTTCAGAAGAGCAAGTCATTTCCATTCCATAAGCTTGCATGTCATGGACACACAGTTCTGATATTGAGCAGCCTGATAGTCACTGGAGGAAAGAATGAGTTAACACATGGCAAAAAATTAGGAGCATAAAGCACACAATAGTAAATGGTATCTATTGCTTGTATAAAACACTAATGGGTAAGGGCTTGTCTACCAAAATACTAATTTCTGGCAAACTGGTCTGTAAATTTACCGTGGATTAGCCTGCTGTGAACTGTCTGTGTGCGCCCTGCTGACGTTAGTGTGAGCTGATCAAAGCACATTAACAAACTGTAGTGTTTTAGTGTAGATATTACCTATGCTGACAGGAGGGATTTTTCTGATGGAATAGGTAATTCACATCCCGAAGTAGCAGTAACTAGGTCTGTGCAGTAATTTAGTTTGGTTTTT